TTTGTAGTTTCATCCAGTTAGCACGTCTTCAAATTCATCATATAAGGCAACATTTCTTCACTTGTATTTTTTGAATGAGAAAATGCACACCAAAATGGGATGGAAATTCGACTTATTATTTGAGGGAAAAATCAAATAAAAATAAAGAGAGAAAATAATATGCATAATTCATTTCTACGCAACTTTACTCTTTCCATTCTTTGGGGCATATTCAGCTGTATTTTCTTTGTAAAGAGAAAGACTTGCATGTCACTGTTTTATCGTCACATGATGTTTATACATATGTTATTATTATTATAATATATGTGTTACTTTTTCTTGACATATTTTTATGAAGTATACTGTAGCAATGGTCCCTTAATTTTAACTCAATTAGAGCAATAGTCCATCAACTAAAAATACATTATCATTGGCCTCTCAACTCATCAAAACGTGCAGCTAGGGTCCATCAACTTAAAATCTATTACCATTGGTCCCTTACCTTTAATCCAATTTGAGAAATTGTCCCTCAACTTTAACCCAATTGAATCAATAGTCCCTCAACTTTAACCCAATTGTAGCAATGGTCCTTCCAACATAACTCATTTTGACAAAATTTTTATGAAGGTCACGAAAAGGACCATAGCTACACGTTTTGATGAGTTGAGGAACCCCAATTGTAGCAATGGTCATTCCAATATAATTATTTTGACAAAATTCTAGCAAAGTTGATGAAAATGACTATAGCTACACATTTTGATGAGTTGAGGAACTAATGGTAATGGATTTTTAGTTAAGTGATAATTGCTTCAATTTGATTAAAATTGAAGGACCATTTCTACAATTTATTCTATTTTTATGGTATTGATAGGCCACCGATGAACCTGTATAAGTTTATTTTTCTTTGGAAAGCCATACGTGATTGGAGGCATATTGTCTGCCCTCCTGTTTGGGTGCCCTTCCCATCCCTTTCTATTTGTGTGGTCACAGTTAAGCTATATCAATATTTTATATTCCTATTGTTTTTTGTCTTGTTATCTCTATAAAAAAATTAATATAAAATATTAATGTAACTTAACCATGACCGCACAAAATAAAAAGAAATGAAAAGGGCATTCAAAACCGAAGGACAGCTGCCTCCTACGTGGTTGGGTAGCTAAACGTCACTCATGACCAACAATAAGCTGCAGAAATTAAGTTGCAGTTGCAGCTATTTGCCATCGATATGGGCAATAGCTTCAAAGCCACATGTAGTAAGTCAGTAGTCTGGCAGCTGTCTCATCTGCATGCACATGCCTCTGCCATTTATGACTATTAAGATGATGATTGCTGATTTCCAACTCACATATATACTACTTGCGCCATATCTCTACCACCACCCTTCCATATTTCAGATTTTTATGTGTTGGATAAGAACATCACTGCATGCATTATATATAGAGCTTGGATCTATCTTTCATGATTTCTTGTATCAATATAAAACAACTGCATAAACACTGGATTTCATCCTCCATACGTTCTTAAAAAAAAAAAAAAAAACTAAAAAGCAAAGGTTCATTTTGGTTCAGTCCCTTATCAACTTAATTATTAGATTGAAATCTTGTTTGTTTAAATATTTTGATTGAGATCTTTAGCATCAGTTAAGATATTTAACTCATACATTTATGCATTTAATGTCCCTCAAATTATGAAATTTAATCAAATTTAAATAATATTTTTAAAATATAAAATACTTAAAAATCAATAATAGAGTAATATTGTTATTCACAAAATTATAGCAAAAAAATAATGTACCCACCTAATTATTAACATATTTTAAAAAATAACTACTGATATATTTTAAAACATAAAATAAATACATATAATTAGCATGGGTACATTTTGCAAAATTAAAAATGGGTACAAATACAAATAAAAGTTTAAAATATATGGGCACAAAAAGAAATTAATATATGAATACAAATTAAAACTGGAAATAAAATTGGTACAAATTAAAAAATGATTGCAAATGAAAAATGGGTACAAACAAAAAATAAAAATATACAATAAAAAATTTAGCCATATATATAAATATATTAAATGTAACGTTTCTAACACTAAATGAATGTATTTAGAAATAAAAATATATATTTTATTATTGAAATAATTAATTGCTTTTATTAAAACCTAAGGACCTTAATCAAAATTGAAAAGGAATAAGGTTTTAATCAATGGAGTAGCAAAAATAGGGATGTGAATCTAATTTCTCCAAAGCAAAACCTAAAAACTAAAACGATAAGCAAAACGATTATCAAACTATTTGTGATTTAGCATGTTTAAACTATGAAAGGTCACTTAATCATGAATAGGGATGGCAATGGGGCGGATTGGGTTCGAGTGTGCTATCCCCATACCCGAACCCGTTTATTTTCCCCGAATCCGAACCCGTAGAATCCCCAAACGGATTTTCCCCATAACCAAATCCATCGGGTGACGGATTTTTGATCAAGGAACGGTTTTCCCAATTATGATATTTATATATTTATTTATATTATTAACTAAACGAAGAATAATCAATAAATTTCTATTATTAATACAATTGATAAATGCATCTAATAAGTAATATTAAAAAGTTATATTACTAAGAAAACATTTACACTCTTGAAAATTATAAGCATATAATTCCTATTATTAATGATATAAAAGTAAATAATTAATTTCATATTTAATAATGCAAGATTATTAACAACCCTTTCATATAATAAATATTTATATTTTTTTTATTCATAGATGAAATGGTTCAGTTTAGGGTCTGGGTATGGGGCGGATACCCTAATAACCATAACTGAACCCGAAACCAAAAAATTTACCCGACGGTTACCCATAATCGTAAAATACCCGAAATTTTATGCTCAAAACCAAACCATTCGGATCAATTGCTTGCAGGGATTGGATTTGATGGGTTAAATTGCCATCCCTAATCATGAACACTACAAAAACCGTACATTGAAAAATAAAAAATAATTTTGTAGTCAGTTTTTTTTTTTTTTTAAGAGAAACGATAGCATTTTATTAAGGAATCATAATTCAAACAACATCAGAGAGGTCCTCCACAATCGAGTCTAGAGGCTCCTCATACTAACAAAAATCAATAGAAGAAGAAACAGCCAACTTGGCCATACCATGTGCTGCAACATTAGCAGTGCGACGAACATAACAAGCATGTGAGTCCACAAAGGCTCGCAAAAGAGCATGTATATCATCCACCAGAAGATCCATAAGTGAAGACCCCTGAACGCAGTTACCAATAGCTTGAACCACCTGCAATGAATCACTCTCCACAATAATTCAAGCCAAATTCTGATTCGCAACCCAACGAACACCCTCGTGAATAGCCAGCAATTCCACCATAGTAGGGTTTGATGTAGGGGATATTTTACAAACAAAACCTCTAGCATAGCTACCAGCTTCGTTGCGAAATACCGCACCTACACCTCCCATATTGGATCCAATAAGAAAAGAACCATCAACGTTGACTTTCACCCACCCAGCTAAGGGGGGCGCTCAAATGCGACGGCGCTTGAAGGGGGCAGGAAGTGGAACCAGGTTTGGCAAGTTCCTAGCATGCTAGATTCCTTGAAGAGTCATGAACAACAAATCCACTTGGCTTTTGGATAAATGGTCCACACATAGTGATAGCCAATCGCACATTGAACCTTGACCCGAGAGCCTTAAACCCATTCTCAATTGAGAGGAAGCATATACTGCACGAGCGAATGGATAATCATTGAACACATGTAGCGCCGACTCCGAAGATGAACTACAAAACAGACATACTGTTGTCCACAACTACTCCCTTGGTTTCCAGATTAACACGAGTAGGCAAAATATCTCGGCAAGCCCTCCAACTACACATCTTTGCTTTACTCGGTATAGCCGCCCTCCATATAGCTTTCAACACTGAAGCGCTCCTCGAATTCGACTGTGAAGATGAAGCCTCAAAGCAACACTTACAAGCAACTTTATAAGCACTCATTACAGAGAACAAACCTTTCGCATCGTAATGCCATATTAACTTATCTGATGGAAGCTTGCAGCTCAATGGAGTAGCAAGAATCATTACAGCCTCATCATAAGGAAATAAGTCAGTGACCAAGTTGATGTTCCAAGATGCCGTTTTCGCAACAATCAAATCAGCCACATACTCCACTCCAACAACCGGAGAAGAAGGCATGAAAGGTCGAAAAAGATGGGGACGATCAAGCCACCGATCATGCCATATCCTAATCGAGCTGCCATTCCCCACCCATCAGCAGGACCCATTTTCCAGAATTGATCATGCTTCCAAAATGCCCCTCCAACACATTGACGAGGAAGATCCAAGTGACACCTGCCAGAAAGTATTATGAGGAAAGTACTTGGCCTTTAACAGTCGAGACGCCAAGGAATATGGATTCTAAACCAACCGCCACCCTTGCTTGGCAAGGAGCGCAAGATTGAAGTCATACAACGACCAAAAGCCAAGATCACCCTCCTCCTTGGCACGGCACATATTTTCCCATGACATCCAATGGATACAAACTCTAATATCATTTTCTTCATGTAATACCACGTAAAACATGTTTGCCATATCAAACTCATGTTATTGCTAGCTGTGAGTTTGATACTAACTTGATCAGTTTATTACTCATACTTAGCGAATCATGTAATGCTTTGTATTCTCATTGAGCAATGAGTAACTTAAACTCAAAACTTCATAAAGAATTGAAATCGAGTGTTGCGTAAACATATTAAAAAAGAAAGTGATTTACACACGCCTATTAATTTGTAACTGTTAAATTGAATAATAAAAGAACGTTAATAGATATAAATAAACAAAAATTATAGAAATCTAAAAAAATTGTGGAATACCATTTCCCATAAAACATTCACTCCTAAAACCAGATGGTTTCTCTTCTTTCTATGGAGAAACCATGGGCAAGTCATCTGATCGTTGGACCCCATTCCAAATTGGGCCATATAATTGAACAAAAAAGTACAGTACAGAGCGAGGTACAAGTTGTCCATAAAAAATCAGGCTCCTCTGCTCTCTCTATATAAACACCCACAAATAAATCATTACATCAACACTATCAAGTCTCAAGGAAAAGCTCTCAAGTTCTTATTCTGTACAATTTCAGTTTGCTCTACTAAGTTAAATGGGCATTCGTGTAGCAGACATTGTTCTTCATCATGCTAAGCAAATTGTCCGAAGACATAAGAGGTCTCAACATTTCAAGTACCAATTCTTATATATACCACTTGCATCGACAATAACAGCAACAACAACGTTGGATGTTCCGAAAGGCTGTTTTGCGGTTTATGTCGGAGAGGAAGACGAGGAGAAGAAGCGGTTTGTGATTCCGGTTTCCTACTTGAACCACCCTTCATTCCAAGATTTGTTGAGTCAGGCTGCCGAAGAGTTTGGTTTTGATCATCAAGTGGGTGGCCTTAGAATTCCTTGCAGTGAAAGGCATTTTACGGACCTCACTTTCCGTTTAAATATTAGATAAGTTCTGAGACTACATAGGAAGTTAATTATTGCCTTAGTTCATAGTTCTGTAAATGGTTGAAGAATGCCATATGTACATTTAATAACTTTGCTCTTGTCACTCTTAATTCAGTAGTAGTTCTTAACTTGTTGCTTCAGACCATATACAAAAGTGGTGTACATGAGTTTTCCATAGTGTGAGTAAGATCAAACTATCACTTAAGGATATATATATATATATATATATATATATATATATGTCGACATATAAGTGTATGGACTGACGTTATTATTAGACTTAATATTGTTTAAACTAGTATTAAACATTATATGAAGGCAAACTAATGAACTCAAATTTGAAATAAGAGGCAGTTATAGCCTCATGAAAGTGAATAGTGTTAGCGAGATTCTTTCATCTCCTCAAATCTATCCGCAATCTCCTAGATTACATTAAATATATAAAGTTGTATATGACGAGTCTTGGTGTGCACTCCAAGCAATCCAATAGTAATTACTCTATTGTATACGTGTACTCTATCTAATCTGTAAATTGACAATTAATCACTACAAGAAAATATAATTTCACATGGTATCATCCTAGGTCTAGGTTCTTTCTCCTGAATAACCCTAGCCGATCCTCCTCCTTCACGCCAAAAAAAGTGGGTAGACTGGATGTAGAGTTTTTAAGTGTGACAAAAAAGGATTAATGTTCATTGTTTTTGTAACAAATTGATGAATTTGCAAATCATTTTTTAATATTTTCTGCAGGATTTAACATGCTCTTATTAACATTGAGAAACTGAATGGCAATAACTTTAAGAGTTGGCAGCAGGGAATTGAAATCCATCTGGGATGTTAGAGTTCAATATTGCTTTCAATCAATCTCAGCCGTCTGCCTTAACTGAAGAAAGTACTGCTGCAGGAAGGGAGGTCTTCGTGAAATGGGAAAGAGCCAACCAAATTTTATTGTTGATCATGGAAATGCAATGGAAGCACATTTAAGAGTAGCATTCCAAGTTGTGATTTGGCAAAGCAATACATAACTAAGGGCTAGTTTGATATTGATGTGCTTTGAAAAAAAATTGTGCTGTGTTGTGAAATAAAGCAGCAAAATGTTTGGAAAATTATAATTGTAAGAGTTTTTAGAGAGAAAAAAAAAAAAAAAAGTGCTTGGGTTTGGTCAATTTTTATGTAAAATAGTTGGAACTTTGTAAAATGACTCAAAATGGTATAATCCTAGATGTGCTATTACTTTAATTGTTTGGCAAATAAAGTTATTAAATATACTTTAAAAATATATTATATCTTAGTTTAAATTGATCTCTAATATTAAAATATTAGAATATTACAAACTTGGTAGCTAGGATTCATTAGCACAACACTACTATACACTTGAAATACCATCAATCAACTGATACACACTTAAAATATAAAAACAATCCAAAAGTTGTTTCAATAACAAAGTAGTCTAATTAGATGCATTCATCAAACTTAAGATTATGCAATTTCTTTATGCTTCTGTCTCATATGGTCATTCAGCTTGATAATTATGATATTCTTTATCAGTATCATTATTGCTTTCTTCAGAAAAGTCATTAGGGTCATCAAAATGACGATCACGTTCAGAATGCCCTTGCATGTAGTTATGAAGAGTCATTATAGCAATCAAATTTGGTTGAAATTTTCATATAAGAGAAGCTTACAAGAGGAAGGATGTGAGCTGGTAGAACACGACGTGGGAGACGAGAGAGATCGCTAAGAGAAGGGACGCCCCAAATTTCAAATTTGGTTGTTGCAAGACTGATAGCGTACAACAAAGAGAGAAAGGATGGCATGCATGATTCGAATTTTGAAAAATTCATTTCATGGGTACTATTCACCTGTGTTATGAGACAAAAAAAACTAGTTTTCTGAAGCCCCCTTTTGCTGCTTTAGCTTTTTGGTTTTTTTTTTTTTTTTTTTCCATCTAAAATTGTGAAAAATGCTAAGGAGATTATCTTTTTAGACCATACTTTGAAACTAAATGATGTAGTGGTTGATGGTTGAAATTTTATTTTTAATGAATTAAAGAAAGAATTCAACCATCAATTGCCACACCTTGTGGTCTACAAATATGATAAAAAAAACAAATGGCCTTTCTATCATCACCCTTATTTTATACTATTTGTAAATATAGAGTTTGGTTGATAGTGATTTTTGTTTTTCTTTTTAATTTTCACATTTTATCTATCTGAGATACGAGAAAAGCATACATGAGAAATGAAAGATGAAAGAAGGGTGTATAAAACTTAAGAACACAGGTTTTTCACTTGTTTGCATGCCCATTTAACTATGGGATGCTTTATATTTATAAGTTGTTCATGATTACATCAGAGGGTTTGAAAACCCTAATTACAAGGGGATTTGAAATTCAAAAATACAAAACAAAAAATCTAAACCCTATCTCCTACAAACAAGGAGTGGTAATCAGATAACACTTTCAAACTAAACAAACTCCTCAAATCATGGAGTTGATGAAACTACAGATTGACTTCGGTTAACAGCCCCCCGCAAGCGAACAGGTGGGGGAACAACTGGAAGCTTGGAGACAAGAAACTTAAATCGTGAAGAAGAGAGGTTCAACATGTAGGCTCCCTCCACGCCTGATGTTTGACTGCCTGACTGAAACATGTAGGCTCAACAATAGAGTTATCAAGTGCAGCATGCATAGCATATTTTGGATTTGGTTTTAGAACCCCTGATTTAGAGCGTGTAGTCATAGAATGTCCAGTATCACTAGGGACAGTGGGTTGCACAAGATGCTCATTTAATAAAACTTGCTTATGTGATGGTAGTGAGGGTTCTATAGACAGGTTAGGTTCTAAAGGTGGATTGAGCTGGGATACGGTTTCAACCGTGGATGGTGTATGTTGCGGAGAAGTTACATCAGGATAGGATTCTATGGCTGGTGCAAGGCTCGGGACATAAGGGATTTGTGGGAGTGGATCAATAGTAGTGAAAGTAGGATTCTCTGGATGAGTAGTGGGTAATGGAAAGTTAGGTAAGATATGAGGTAAAAAGTTGTTACCTTGTTCGTCGACACTGTCAGAAGGAGATGTGAGTCCCTTAAAAGGGAAGGAGTCCTCGTCGAATAGAACATGGCGAGACAAATAAACTCGTCTTGTGGTCATGTCTAAGCATCTGTATCCTTGATGGTTCAAAGAATATCCAAGAAAAACACATGACTTTGATTTTGGTTGTAACTTATTTTGCGTGTATGGTGTTAACCATGGAAAGCAACGGTAACCAAACACCTTCAAAAACTCATAATTGGGTTTTCTTTGAAATAATTTCTCAAACGGAGATGTATCAAATAATACATGAGTAGGTAATCGGTTTATTAGATATGTGGCAGTTGAGCATGCATCAAACCAAAACGTAGTTGACATGAAAGACTGAGCAAGCATAACCATGGCAGTTTTGACAATATGTCGATGTTTTCGTTCAGCTAAACCATTTTGTTCACGATGTTTAGGGCAAGAAAAACGTTGGGAAATACCATGAATATCAAGAAACCTTTGGAAAGAATGATTCTTATATTCACCACCTTCATCACATTGAAGAGTTTTTATGGATTGATTAAACATATTTTCAATTTTGGCTTTAAATTTCACAAATATCGCAAAGACTTCAGATTTTTGTTTCATGGGAAAAATCCATGAATATCGCGAATAATCATCCACAAACAACAAATAATAACGAAAACCTTTGTTAGAACGAATTGGAGAACACCACACATCTGAATGAATAAGTTGCAAAGGAAATTGAGACCTAGACTCGGACAATTGGAAAGGTAATTTAGTACTTTTACCTAGAGGACATGACTCACAAAAGCGTACTTCAGAGGTACCATGAATTGGTACCAATTTATTTGAAATTAAAAACTTTATTATTGGTTTTGCAGGATGGCCAAAACGTGCATGCCACTTTTGAATCGACACTCGAACTCCCACACATGCAGTAACAGAATGCTTGAGACAGCCACTGCCATTTGGAAATGGGTACAACCCATTCTCACATCTCCCTCGGAAAAGCGTCTTCCGTGTCTTGAAGTCCTTAACAAGGAAAACATGGGGAAAAATGAGTAAGTAACAATCATTATCTAGGGTAAACTGATGAGCAGAAAGGATATTAGTGGAGGCAATTAGGCAATGAAGAATGTCACGTAAAACAAATGAGCAAGATTTAGTATTAAGTTGACTTGAACCATAATGTGCAATTGAGATACCCGTGTGATTACCTACACCTCCTACTCCTTCATTCCCGTGATACTCTTTGGGATTGGCCAGATTCTGAATGTCAGGAGTAATGTGTGCATTGGCTCCTGTGTCGAGAAGCCAAGAACCATTCTGTTGTTTGTTAAGAGTAATAGGTGAAGAAGTCATTGCCGAGAGTCGTTTGGCCGGAATGCGTCCTTCAAAAGCAGTGTTCATGCGTTGGTAGCAATCCAACGCAGGATGACCTGGTTTGCCACATATTTAACACACAATTCTATCACCACAAGAAACAAACCTTTCGCCATTACCTTGGTTATTCTGCGAAGCATTGTAATGGTGAGGATTGGGACCTCGTTGAGCACCACCACTGTTTTAGTAGTTCCCGCGTCCACCACCACGAGAACGACCACCCCCAAGTCCTCGAGAAGCCACGAAGGCATTAACAGTGGCTCTTTCAACCAACAGGACATTGTGTTCCACCAGTCTCCTTTCTGTTGTCAGCAGCAATGATTCAAGGGCAGGATAAGTGATAGGGTTGTCACGAGCTTGTGTAGCGCTCACAGTCATCTCATACGCTGGTCCAAGATTATTCAACACAATCTGGACCAGTTCGTCATCACTCACAGGTTGCCCAGCAAGAGCAAGATTGTCAGCAATCGCATTCATGCAATCAAGGTAATCCGCCACAGATAGATCACCTTTTTTGGTCTGCAACAATTCATTTCTGAGAAACAAAATACGATTTTGGGACGTGGATGCATACCTTTGCTCCAGAGCTTCCCACGTAGCTCGAGCAGTTCTTTTGCTTGCCACCACAGACAAGACAGATGCAGTCAGAGATCCATTAATCCAGCTGATGATCATTTGATTCTGTTGCACCCACGTTGTGTACACAGGATTCACGGTTGTCAAACCAGCAACATGTTTTGGGGGACACACCAAGGTGCCATCAACATACCCCATCAAGTCCCGGCTTTTTAAAATAGGGAGAATTTGAGCCAACCACAGTGGGTAGTTGGTTCTATCAAGTTTGATATTGACGACAATGGAAAAGGGTTGAAAGGTGGTGGTTTGGGGGTTAGGGTTGATAGCAGGGACATTGTTTTCAGCCATGGAAGCGATGATGGAAAGAGTAACAGGTTAGGATCTTTGTCATTAGACAAAAAAGGCTCTAGTGACCATATAAAACTTAAGAACATAGGTTTTTCACTTGTTTGCATGCCCATTTAACTATGGGATGCCTTGTATTTATAAGCTGTTCATGATTACATCAAAGGGTTTGAAAACCCTAATTACAAGGGGATTTGAAATTCAAAAATAAAAAACAGAAAATCTAAACCCTATCTCCTACAAACAAGGAGTGGTAATCAGATAACACTTTCAAACTAAACAAACTCCTCAAATCATGGAGTTGATGAAACTGCATATTGACTTCGGTTAACAGGGTGATGGGAGATAAAAGAATACATAATTAAAGAAGAATTATGAAGAGAAATAAAATTTTGAATGTTTGTACATCAAATCAAATATGAGTTCAAAAAAGGTTGTATTAAAATCACTTCCCATGATATATGCAGTTGCATGATTGGATATATAAATTCTGGACTAGTGTATACAGAATGGAGCTTTAGAAAGGCATGATTTCATTGGATATAATATATACATCTATATGGTGTGGCGTCACTTGTGACCAATCTGCAGAAAGTAGTAGTTGCGGCTATTTCCATCGATATGGGCAATGACTTGAAACGCGCATGCAGTGTCAGCACTCAGTATATAACTGATTCTGCGTCTTTCTGATCTGTCATTGATGATTAATATGGTGAGTCCTGAGTCCTTACTGACTTCAATCCCACATCACTTGCAGTGTTTCTGATTTCTTTTTCTTACTTGGCATCAATCTTGAAGGCAGATTGTCTACCCTCCTATTTGGGTGCTCTTCTCATCTTTTTTTATTTGTGCGGTTACGGTTAAGTTACGTCAACATTTTATATTCCTATTGATTTTTTTATAGAGATAATATATGATGCACGGATACTTCTGTTTGGTCCTCTATCAGATAAGATACTTGTCTGATACTCTTGGATACTAGTCCGACACGTATCCTGGTTGATGGACATGAATTTGACAAGATGGATATGCGTATCCTACATTTAGGATACACGTATCCGTCTTTTAGGATACATTTACACTTTCAAAAAAGGTAATGAGAAGAAAATTAAAAGGAGACATCTATAATTGAAAGTTGCTAAATACAAAGATTTTCCCTCTAATTAAAACCATGAATACGACTCTCAAACTTCATCTACAATTTAAAGAGGATTAGATTTCGAACTTTGCTTCTCTAACGACTCAAATGTACTTGATTTGAATGATGAATTATGTTTTAAAATGTATATTTTTGTTGTTATATACATTTTTATTTACCGTATCCATAACGTATCGTATCGTATCTTAATTTTTAGAGATTTTCCGTATCGTCGTGTCATATCGCCATATCCGTATCCGTATCCATGCTTTATAGGAGAGAATAAAACAAAAAGCAATAGGAATATAAAATGTTAACGTGGTTTAACCGTGACCGCACAAATAAGAGGAGATGGGAAGAGCATCCAAAGAGGAGGACAGACAAATCTGCCTCCATCAATCTTCCTTTCATGGATGAGTGATTGGCTGACATCTCAAATTCTAACATATTTTAGGAAGAGCATCTCCAATAAACACCACAGATTGTAACTTATTGGTAAACTAATTTTAATAGAAAATTGTTATTGGTACTCCAAAAATCTTATTCTAAAATTCAAACTTTCTATATTTGGAAAGAAAAATACACTTATAAGGAGTGTAGAATAAGATTTTTTGAGTGCCAATAACACTTTCCTTTTAATATTGCATTAGCAAAATTGACTGCTGTAAATAAAATTGCAAATTTTGTAAAACAGAGTGGTCAAAATTTGCTAAATTGAAAACCCAAAGGCCAAAATAGATTTTGACCATAAACACGGTGAGAGAAAAGATTTTAATCCGACAATAAAGTTTGTAAAGTAAGTTGAAGTCTAAAATTGTAAATTTGTAAATTTTACTCTTTAAATTGCCACGTAATGAACAAATTAGTATTTGAGAGTTACATTTGTCAAGTGCAACTTACATGATGTATAGAAAAACTTACCATGACAATACATATTATTAGAAAAGATGGTCACTTGACGGTAACACGTTCTACATAAGTTACTTTTCAAATTTTGTGTAGTATATTTGGGACGCATTTAAGAGCCTGACCATTTAAGTACCCGGCCAAAGCCAACCCTCAAAGAGCCAATTACGTCAAGAAGTTACAAAACATTGAAGAGATGAAAAGATGGTGGTTTTCTCTCAATCTCTGGAAAACAGTGGGTGGCTCTATTTATAGTAATATATTGTGGGACACTCTTCAGTTTCAAGTTGGAAATGAGATCCACTTCAGATCTCTTTGTTCGAACCGTTCAAAAGAGAGTAAGAGATCCAAGCCATTCAAGTTTGAGTGTTTGGAAAGTGACCAATGAAATGGGCTAATAGGCGTCACATGATTGAAATTGAGTAGTCTAAATCTCTTCGAGCTTGAGACACAAATCTAGAAGTGGATCTCAATCCAGTTGAGTCTTGTGATTGACAGTGTCATGGTGTCAAAGCTGAACAAATTCTATGATGTACGGTTCAAAGTACCAAGTTACAACAACTTTTAGACATCCACCATGCAAGAATAAAAAATAAAATGAAATATGTGCAATTCTCATCATGGTAAGCACATTGTCCCGAGGCATAAGAGGTCGCATTATTTCAAGCATCAACTCTCTATCCATGCCAATAATAATCTGAAACTGAGGAGAAAGACGATCTGTGCAGAGGACAATCGCAAGATAAAAAGCTTTCATTTCTTTTGCATTTTGTTGTTTCAATTGTGTACATGTGGTGGCTAACTGAAAATGGAGTTTGTAGTAGTAAATGACCGGGAATTATGTATACGAATTGGGTAACCTAGATATGGTGGGATAAAGTACAAGCAAATACAGGTGGAACACCAAGCGTCATCCGTAGCCTGGAACAATGGAGAGGACCGAATAACGTTCTGAGTACTAACTGGCAACCTGCAGCAATGGAGACCAGGCTATTTCATCATCATCTGTGTGGCCCTGAATGAGAAAATCAGAACAATTTTTCCTGCACCCATGGTTATACGGGTTTTGGAACCGCCCATCTGGACCGCGAAGATACCCATAACGATTAGCATTTGCCAATTCATTGGTGGTGATATTTCGAGCTATCAGTTTCAGAAATGAAACAACATAATCAGTATAGTCTCACTAACTTAGATGAGTTTAAAAGGCAATTACTGTAAGTACATAGTCTTAGTAGCCATTTTCGTTTCTCTTGCTAGTATTCTCAACAGGATGCCAAAAGGGGCATAACTTTCTTATCAAATGCTATCTGCTCCCACATTCTTTTCCCATAACTTAATGGGTTCTTCAATCGATATTTATACCGCCGCAAAAGGAAAAATCTCAAGAAAGAAGAAAAAGGAGGTAAACAAAAAATAAATTGTCTTCCAAATTAAAGACCGTATGAGCTGGCTAATCCTTGAATGCAACAGAATGCTAGTTAATCCATTTCGAGAGTATGATTCCCACCTCAGAAGATGTAGTTTTCACATTTTTGGAGGAACACATGTTTTGTCTTTTGCTAACTTAAGCTAACATTATGTAGTAAGGGTTCCGTCAATTACCTGAGTTGCCTGTGCCGTCGTTAGGGTTGTAGCATATATCAAAATGATTATGTCCACAAACAGAAAAGCAACAATACTAGGATATTGAACTACCACACGGCGAATCCATGTTTCTTCTGTTTGCAATCCCGGCAATGCACTCCAAATCCCTGTCATCATGAAAAGACAGCTGTCATCTAGTAAAAAAATGAAACAAATAGTTCAACACAAAGTTCATAATGTCTGCTACCCACATACTTTGAACTGCAACAGCAGTAGAAATGAGTGACGTCAAAGATCTTAACCAGATAAATATAAAGAAATCCCGCTTGTTTCTCTGCAAGAAACAAATTAAGAGACAGTGGAGCTGGTGGAAACAAATGTGACCTCAAGAATCCATTAACATAGTTATACTGAGTTGGACTATGATAAGAAGTTAGCACTACTTACCTTTCCATCACAATTAGATATCCATGGACAATGATGGTCGAACTGTTCTACGCATCGGTTACATGTGGGGCAGTGTTTAGAGCGAACAGGTCTAATTATCTGAAACAAAAGAACGTCAGAAAAACATGACATTAATCAAATATACAATAATCATGTGAACCATAAAGAAATATCCAAATATATTATTATATTTAATATCCTCTTTGAAAATAGGACATCAAGTTAACCTTGCAAGTGGGGCAAAGTTGAGACCAATTTCCCATCCATACAGAGGAATTGTTTAAAGCAATATTCAACAAAGGATCCTGAAAAATGTTGGTGCCCTATTAGCAAGCTCAGTTACACTAGTATATAAGTCAGCAAAGCCCCATCTGGAGCTGCATTTCTGAACACTGCCACATACAGAGTAGTAAAATTGTTTTTACGACATATGCACGCCGAATATGTAGGTTTAAAAACTCGAGCATGTCTTGTGACATCATTATTTTTCAATTGCATTATATGGGTCATTTATTGCCTAGTCGCATAAATATTGCTGAGGGAGACTGACTTGTCTTGCATTATTCCAAAATCAAGGGTTCTTTTGTTCTATCAGAATAATTGATCTTTGAGTTTGGGGAAGAAGGTGAAAGTCTTCTGTAGTTGCAGATCAATAGCTTAGCTTTCAGTGCTGTAGTTGGAAACAAAAACAAGGATCATTCAAAATTTTGATGGGAAGGATTAGAGTTTTCTTTACATGACAATTCCTTGATTTTGGACCTCTCTCAGTTCCGTTTCTTCCAAATCTTGTGATACACGATTTTTTTACTTATGCATATGTGACGCTGTCACTAAAGATACACCTAACATTTTTGCATCAGATGAGATTCAAACTATCAACCTAAATGAGTTCGAAGTAAGTTTCATGCCTACCACCTTCTGTTTTAGAGAAACTGATGGCTTCAGAAAAGAAAATAAATGAATAAATAGAAATTGTTAGGGTTAGTCATCAGAAGACTACTTATTTTGAACATAGATGATAAAGACTAAACAGAAACATTGCATACCTCTGTATTTATAGGACTGCTGAAATCCCCTGCTCCTTTGATGTAACCTGGATCTTTACTACAAGCAAATGTGGTAATTGTTTAACGACATCACGGTAGTAAATTGTTAGTTTTTTGGCTCGTCAATTTGTGTCCTTTTCTGTTTAGGATTGTTTTAGGGAAAAGGGTGCACCAATTCTTCTCCTAAAAGGGCTAGGAAAGAATCTTTGTTTCCTTATTTCAATTTAGATTAGAAACCTAGAAGTCTATTTGGAATTGGAAAGGAAGTCTAATTTCCTATTCCACTTAGAATAGGAATTATAATCTGTAAAGGACATGTAAGCCAACCCTATATCTATAAATAGGGTGCGGCAAGGCTGATTTTCAGCAGAGAGAAAACAGCCAAACAGCAGAGAGGTTTGAGATTAGTTCTAGGGTTTGCATAAGTTCTGTAATCTCTATTATTAATCAAAGAAGCGGTGATTTCTCTACCTAGGGAAATCACAACTGGACGTAGGCATAAGTTCTGCCGAACCAGTATAATTCTTGTATGTTTCTAAGTTTTCTATATTTGTTAGTTTAGTCTATTGCCGTTGGTTACATCAAAGAACAAGGTCCAGTGTGCGGGTTTATTCAACAATTGGTATCAAGAGCTAGGATCAAGGTGTTCTACGATGTTAAAAGGGAAGATGAATGCGGATCAAGGACCTGCGTTAAAACCCTTTGACGGCAAGGATGACTTCACGGACTGGCAAAGGATGATGAAGAACGTACTGATACAGCAGGATTTGGATGATGCACTTGATGGTAAGAAGCCGGAAAGCATGACAGAAGCAGCATGGAATAAGGTTCTCAAGAAGGCCAAGAGTTCCATCGAGATCCATCTCACAAGATCAGTTCGGTCACACATCACCGAAAAGATGTCTGCCCAGGAAGCGTGGGAAAAATTGGAGAATGTTTATATGGGCAAAACCGTGTCCAATAAACTTTTTCTAAAGGATGAACTATTCGGGCTTCGACTAGAAGAAGGAGGTGATATTGAAGATCACGTATGCAGGTTCCAGAATTGCATAGCTAATCTTCAGAAAGTCGAAGAAACTTAAAAAGATGATGATATGGCTATCATCCTGCTAAGGTCTCTACCTTCGTCTTTCAAGCACTTTCGAACAACTCTAATGTTTGGAAAAGAGTCCTTGAAGCTTGAAGACGTAATTCAAGCTCTTCAGTCATATGCTAAACTAGATGATATAACTGAAAGCTCTCAAGGCCTTTATGCCAAAGGCAAGGAGAGGGGGCGGGAAAAGACAAGGGAAGAGAAAACTGGCAACAGAGGTCGGTCAAAATCCAAGAAGAAAAAGGAAAAGAAGGAAGGTTGCTTCGAATGTGGTTCAGCCGATCATTGGAAGAGGAACTGCAAGATTTGGAAAGAAAAGACAGCCAAGATGGAAGGAAGCTCAGGTTCCGCTAGTGCAGTCACCGAACATGAGAGTGACGGGGAACTTCTTTCGGTAACATTGGGCTCCAAGGCTTTCAATTGGATTTTGGATACTGGATGCACGTTTCATATGTGTGCAGTAAAAGAATGGTTCGATACTTACAAAGAAGTCAGCAGCGGGGAAGTCTTAATGGGGGATGATTCTTCATGTCCTGTAAGAGGAATCGGCACTGTTCGAATCAGAATGTTCGATGGGATGATACGAGCTTTGGGGAACGTCAGGTATGTCCCTAGACTAAGAAAGAATTTGATTTCCTTGGGTACTTTAGATGAGGCCGGTTATGGGTACAAGTCTAAAAAAGGAAGACTCAGGGTAACCAAAGGATCGCTAGTGGTAATGCGGGGTGACCTACAACCCAATAAGTTGTATAAGTTAATTGGGACCACTATAGTCGGGGGAGCAGCTGTTTCTGTAAATCAAAGTATAGAAGACAAGACTGAACTATGGCATCATAGGCTCGGGCACATAAGCCAGAAGGGATTGCAAGAATTACACAAGCAAGGCCTGTTGGAAGGCGTGTCAGCTTGCAAACTGGACTTTTGTGAATACTGTGTTCTTGGGAAGCAAAGAAAGGTATCATTCGCAAGTAGCAGTGCAGATAGCCGAAGTAAGGAGCAACTCAGCTATATTCACTCAGATGTCTGGGGTCCTGCTCCAACTAAATCAAATGGTGGAGCCAGGTATTTTGTTACTTTCATGGATGATTTTTCTAGGAAGGTTTGGATTTATTTCATGAAGCAGAAATCCGAGGTTTTTGCAAAGTTCAAGGAATGGAAAACAGAAACCGAGAATCAAACTGGAAGAAAGATCAAGTATCTGAGAAGTGACAATGGAGGTGAATATACAAGTAAGGAGTTCACCGATTACTGCAAGCAGGAAGGCATCATAAGGCACTTCACAGTAAAGAAGAATCCCCAACAAAATGGAGCTGCTGAGAGGATGAACCGAACTCTCATGGAGAGAGAAAGGTGCATGCGATTTCATGCAGGATTGCCTGATAGTTTTTGGGCAGAGGCTGTTAATCATGCAAGTTATTTGATTAACAGATCACCATCTACAGTTCTCGGTTTTAAGAGTGCAGAAGAGGTATGGTCTGAGAAGCCGGTGGATTATTCCAAGCTCAGGGTGTTCGGCTGTAGTGCGTATGCACATATTCCAAGTGATGAAAGGTCCAAGCTCAAACCGAAGTCTATACATTGCATATTCCTAGGTTTTGAGAAAGGAGCGAAGGGTTTCAAGCTTTGGGATTTCAACAACCGGAAAAAGGTTGTCAGTCGAGATGTTGTCTTTGATGAGACAACCATGCCTCTGAATAAAGTCGAGAGCAGTAGGGAGAAGAGGGATGATGCTGGAATTGAAGCAACAAAGATTCCGTTAATCAGTTCAGATGAAGAAGAAGCTCAGGTGGAGCAAATTGAGCAAGAGGCCGAATCTGATGGTTTTGAGGAAGAAGAAGAGCATCAGCATCATTCACCAGTTAGGAATCAGGTGGAGCAAGAAACAGGACAGATTGAAAGTACTCCAATCCGCCAGATATCCCAAAGGAGTCAAACTCCACCCAACAATCCACCTGCATTCCAAAGATGCATAGCACTGGACAAACCTAAGCGGAACAAGAAGAAACTTGACAGGTTTGGGTTTGACCAAAACGAAGTTAATTATGCTCTTAACATTAGTCAAGGAGATCCGACTACTTATCGAGAAGCTATAGCAAGTGGTGAGCGAGATAGTTGGATAAGTGCTATGACAGAGGAAATGGAGTCTCTTTACAAGAACTCTGTTTGGGAGTTGGTTCCTAAACCCAAAGACAGAAAGCTAGTTGGATGCAAGTGGGTATTTAGGAAAAAGGAAGGACTACATGAACAAGATGCCGTGAGATTCAAAGCAAGGCTCGTGGCTAAGGGGTACTCACAAAAGGAAGGGGTGGATTATGATGAGATCTTTTCACCTGTAGTCAAGCATACTTCTATCCGATTGCTTTTAGCAATGGCAGCTCAGCATGACATGGAGATTGAGCAGATGGATGTGAAGACAGCGTTTCTTCATGGGGATTTAGAGGAGACGATATTCATGGCTCAACCAGAAGGGTTTGTTGAATATGGGAAAGAAAACCTAGTATGTCAGCTAAGGAAGTCCCTGTATGGCCTCAAACAGTCTCCAAGACAGTGGTACAAGAGGTTTGATTCATTCATGCTGAAAATTAATTTTAGAAGGTGTTTGTATGACTGTTGTGTGTACTATCATGTGTTCCAAGATGGGATGATCATATTGCTATTGCTATATGTGGATGACATGTTAATTGCTTGTCAAGACAAGTCTAGAATTCAAGACTTGAAAAGGATGTTGAGCGAGGAGTTCGACATGAAGGATCTAGGTGCCGCACAGAAGATCCTTGGCATGGAAATTCAGAGAGATAGGACCGCTGGAAGGATTTGGATATCACAAGCCAAGTATATTCAGAAGGTTCTTGAGAAGTTCAACATGCAAGAAGCAAAGGTAGTCTCGACTCCTTTGGCAGCTCACTTCAGGTTAAGTGGACAACAGTGTCCTACGTCCGAGGAAGAGCAACAAGAAATGAAGAAGGTGCCTTATGCTAATGCCGTGGGCTGCCTCATGTATGCAATGGTATGCACACGTCCTGACATAGCTCAAGCAATCAGTGTCGTTTCCAGATACATGGCAAATCCAGGAAAGCAACATTGGGATGTAGTCAAGTGGATTTTGCGTTATTTGAAGGGTTCTTGGCGACAAAGGATTATGTTTGAGAAGCAAAAGGAAAATGCAGGGGTGCTAGGATATGTGGATGCCGATTATGCAGGGGACTTGGACAAGAGAAGGTCAACTTCTGGTTATGTGTTTACATGCGCAGGAGGACCAATCAGTTGGAGGGCACTACTGCAACCAATTACAGCTTTATCGACCACAGAGGCAGAGTATATTGCATTGGCCGAAGCTGGAAAGGAAGCAATTTGGCTTAGTGGCTTGGTAAGTCAAATGGGAATCACTCAAGATTGTGTGAAGCTTAAGTGTGATAGTCAAAGTGCCATTCACTTGGCAAAGAATCAGGTTTTTTCTGGAAGATCAAAGCACATTGAAGCAAGGTATCACAGAATCAGAGATTGGGTGGAGTCTAAGGAAATTTGGATTGAAAAGGTTCATACGGATGACAATGCCGCAGATTTCCTTACAAAGATAGTGTCGGCCAAGAAGTTCAAGCATTGTTTGAACTTGATCGATCTCGTTGATTGATTAAAGTGGAGCACCTCCTCACCTGAGGTGCAATGAGGCAAGAAGGAGGTTGCCAAGGTGAAGACTCTTGAAGTTTTCCAGAGTTACTTCAAGAAGGTTCAAAGATACTCTGAGGTGCAAACGATCAAGACTTGGTTTGACTCACCAAGGTGGAGATTGTTAGTTTTTTGGCTCGTCAATTTGTGTCCTTTTCTGTTTAGGATTGTTTTAGGGAAAAGGGTGCACCAATTCTTCTCCTAAAAGGGCTAGGAAAGAATCTTTGTTTCCTTATTTCAATTTAGATTAGAAACCTAGAAGTCTATTTGGAATTGGAAAGGAAGTCTAATTTCCTATTCCACTTAGAATAGGAATTATAATCTGTAAAGGACATGTAAGCCAACCCTATATCTATAAATAGGGTGCGGCAAGGCTGATTTTCAGCAGAGAGAAAACAGCCAAACAGCAGAGAGGTTTGAGATTAGTTCTAGGGTTTGCATAAGTTCTGTAATCTCTATTATTAATCAAAGAAGCAGTGATTTCTCTACCTAGGGAAATCACAACTGGACGTAGGCATAAGTTCTGCCGAACCAGTATAATTCTTGTATGTTTCTAAGTTTTCTATATTTGTTAGTTTAGTCTATTGCCGTTGGTTACATCAAAGAACAAGGTCCAGTGTGCGGGTTTATTCAACATAAATGTGGCAGATAATTGTTCAGATAATTCATTACTAAACAGAAGATTTGTGATATATATATATATATATATATATAAAGCACATCTACTATTAAAGCATAAATTTGCCAGGCTGGTAATCTCTTGGCAATGTTTCAGATGTATTAGGTTCCTCCAAAAAAGGACTGGGTGGGATTATCTGGTGGCTCTGGAAACCAACATTTAGTGCTAAATGACTATTAAATTGTGTAAATTAGAAGTTCAAGTATCAACGCACATTCAAATTTTCTTATTGAAACTAATTAAAAACATACCCATTTCAGAGAACTGGAGAAGACAAAACATAAAATTTGAATTTACTTTGAATTATGGATTCCAGGAAAGAATTACCTGCTGCACCTGTAGAACATAATCAAGGAACCCACTGCTAATGAAATGGCAGCCCATCCCCAGAGACCGACAGCAGCAGTAACCTTTGTCAGATGAGGAGCTAACATGAGTAAGTATGAAGTCAGTAAGGAATAATTAGCAAGGGAACTCAATCTATCTGAAATCTTAAGGAAAACTGGAACAGGCTTTACTACCTGCGAGGACTGAGTTCATAAAGAGAACTGTCTGAAAGACTATTATACACAACAAAACAGGTGCGTAACCAACATCCGCCATCTTCCCAATGCAAAATTTGTCTCTCCAGCAGTTTCTATGAGCCCGCTGCTGGTTAGCCTGCACAAGATACAAATAAACTCTTGTTTCTAACATGGTTATATTTTAAATATACCTATTAATTGTTAACCAAATGTTGTAGAATACAATTTTCCCATCCACAGGGGACACATCACTTAAAATTACTTTTCTCATGGGAAGAAAATATACATAAGGATTCATATGACATATATGTTTACAAACTCCTGCAATTATTCCAGAAAAGAGAAAACAAATTCATGTTTGGGGATGCATGTAAGTTATGGAAAGTACATGAGAACCAGTAACCAATTTGTTTACCTTATATATGTACTATACATTACACTAAATTCTCAACAAAGAAAAGAAACTGTGAATAATAACAAATGTCAAAATCTATGAGATGAATCTACGAGTTATGCAACCATTGCAAACATGTCCGATATCAAAAACTCCTCCCAAACTGAACCTCATATTCCCATATCTGCTTTTCAAGTCTCGTTAGATTTGGTGATCAGAAAGCTATCAGTAGTGCTATAAATATAAATTTACGTACAAGGAAGAGAGCGACACGCTGATGACCTTTATCAGATGCAATCTGAACAGGAGTAAAACCAGCATTGTCTTTCACCGTTAATTCCTTCTTAGAGCCAGCATAGACAAGCACAGTGCAAACCTCCACGTTCCCATTTAAAGCAGCCCAGTGCAAAGGGGTACAACCTAATACCATAGTATACTCAAATCAGACCAGAAGCAGAGAACCACAAAGAAGAATTAGCATGATTGAAAGTAATATTGTTCGATATAAAAGAAAATCATTTTTTTACAGGTATCCTAAGGTAGCAAATTCATGATCATAGCCGTCGATGTGTTGTGTATTGCATTATTTGACACCCGTCACGAAACATGTCTAATCACTCTCTTCTACTCAAGCCAGTTTTGACACATTACATAAACAGCTGATGTAGAAATTTAATTGTACTACTAAAATAACCAGAACACAACATATTTAGGTGAATAGTGCACATTTACCTTCTTTATCTTGTCTCCCTTGGCATGCATCTCTAAACAGAAGCAATCTAACTGTATCTGCAAAATCTTTATCTGCGGCCCTGGTTGAAAATATAATAATTGATTAATTCTCCTGTAGACAGTCTCAAAACAAATATTTCATGTTACCAGATACGTAAGACTGCTACACAGAACAGAATAATTTAAACCACAGAATAATAGATTTAATTCATGACAGCCCATGTTGTCATGGAGAAATTAAAAAAGCACGATGTCAATGTCACAGAATATCTATGTAAACATAAACCACGTCAATATGCCATAGTATAGCCTTTCAACATACCAATGAAGAGGACTCCTCCCCTCATTATCAGGGGCATCAAAATCAGCATGATATATTGCGACAATGTGATTCAAAAAAGATGTTTGCCCATATTGAGCAGCAACGTGAACTGCCTGCAGTAAATTAAACAAGTGACAAGAAAAAACTAGTAGCAATAACATCCTTTGCATGCATGAAAATATAGGACTCACAACTAGTTTTAAAGTATACCTCACCCCATCAAAATTAAATTCATACTAAATATAAATCTTCCAAACAATAATATGATTATAAATATAATAATCGCTTTATAAAAGAAATAATGCTACGTATTGAGAACATTGCAACAAAGTATGCCAACACATCGCAGTCAACCTGCAGTGCCAAAAACTGATTATCTGCAAGTCACCACACCAAAGAAAATTTGTACACATGTACTTCATCTCATTAACGTATGTTACATATGCAACTAGTGTTAAAAACTGGGCTTCACTTTTAGTCGTTGGATTTGGCAGTTGAATACTTAATTTAAGTAAAACTAATGAAAACTACATGTGACCCATGAATAACACGCTCCCTTGCTTCTGGAATCTCATCCAGCTCTCATCCACGCCACATCTCCACTTTCAGTTCTTCATCTCCACCAATAAAATGGTGGAGTCTCAATGAACTCAAAGCTAACAGTTTTGTAAGAGAAAAGAACACCAGTAAAACATAAACATAGATACAAGAACTGAAAAAATTAGGAACATGAATAGAACATACATGTCCCACAAAACAGATATACAAGAGCAGGGCAAGACTTTGGGGAACTACTTTTAAAGAAATGGGTCCCAAGTCAAAAGTGTAAAGAATGATACACAGAGAACCAAAATAGGTATGACAGGATGAGCATCCTTCCCAAGGCATTTTCTTCTAAGCCTCTTCCTCAATTCTCTCTAATCTCCCCCCCCCCAATGGAGCTTCTATAATTCCTTTTGCAAGAACTGGGTGATATGGGGGTTTGGACCGCCCTAGAAGTCTCAGAGAACCCTAATTAGAGATCCTTTGCAGTAGAGAGAGACACATGCGGTATGGGAAAAGATGTATCATTTCAGATGAACAGAAGAAAAAGTTGTGGAGTATTTGGTGCAAATGACTGGTGGGTAGTCCAGTACCAGATTATTTGGCGGGCATTAAGGGGGTAGGCACTGAGATTGTTGAGGTGGTCTAATTGTGGAGTTGGATGAAATTGCAGAAGCAAGGAAGGAAGCCGATTATCCAGGGACCATGGGTCTTCATCATTTGTTTCACAAGAAATGTATGCATCAAGGAATCCTAATCCTTAATGATATACCTGGTTCAGCCTAATATAACAGTTTCTATTTCAAAATAGACAAACTCAACCAAGAAAATTAAGGAAAATGAAAAAATAAAAATAAAAAGAGAGGAAATGAGACAATTACCCGGTAGCCATGTACATCAGCTGCCTCAACCCTAGCTCCATTCTGCAAGAGCACATCCGCCGCCGCAATTGCACCCTGCACAGCTGCCCAATGCAATGCTGTCCGCTGTACATTGTCAGTCGCATTGACATCGCAGCCATGCTTTGACCACATCAATAACAAGTATATTAATACAGATCAAGCCAACCTCACTAAAGAATACAGCAGTCCAATACCAAAAATGGGATAAAATAAAAACAGACTATGGTTCATCACCAGTAACCAAACCCACTGCAAAATTTCAACATTTCCACACAAACCCACTGCAAAATTCAACTTTCCTCACAAACCCAGCAAAGAAAACAAGCTAATTCACAGAAAGAGAAAGGTTTTAGGGCATAGATACCTGAATTATGTAGTGAGCGATATCGGGGAAGTTATTGAGAGCAGCCCAATGGAGGGCGTAGTAGCCATGGACGTCTGGCTTGGAGAGAGAGGCACCATCTTGCTCGACGAACTTTCTTAGTTTCTGAAAATCACCATAAGCAGAAGCAGAGAAGACGTCGAGCACGGACACCTCCGCAGGGTTTTTCTGGGTATTTGGTTCCGATGACACCACCTCTATCTCTGAAGAAGCCATCGCTGCAGAGCAAACAACGAAAGGGAGGGCAATCAATCACTGTAACGGAGGAGGGATTGAGGATTTCAGATGATAGGGTTTCTCAGGGCAAGTGAACAGTGATAGACGAATAGTAATACTCCAAATACATCTCCACATCTAAAAAATACGCTGAAACAAAGTCTAAAAAATACGCTGGCACAAATGATCTTCATCCTACAAAATGAGCTAGCACCCAGCCCATAAAATATTATTAAATTTTTTATAAAATAATAAATAAAAAATAGTTTTAATTTCGGATAGGATTAAATAAAGATGAAATTACATAAAGTACTGAAAATTAAGATGAAATTAAATAAAGTACTAAAAATAAGAAATTATACAAAGTTTGTAGAGCTAGGATATGTGGTGCTAGGATCTTCGTTGCTAGGATTTGTGTAGCTAGAACCCCCTCGACTTGTTTCCGCGTCTCTTGCACGCCTCATTCGCACCACGTCTCTTTTTTCCGATGTCCAAAAATATTTTGAATTCAGAGACAATCCTACTAGAGGCTTATTCATAGTGTCACAATCTACTTGAGCTATCATTTCTCTCTAAGCATCTCGTTTTCTCGATTAAGTGCTTCTTAATCATCTCGTTTTCTCAATTAACTATTTCTCTTTGTCTCTCAGCCGCTGCATCACGTCTCTCAGTAGCTGCTAATATTGCTGCCATAGCAGTAGCGTTTTCCTCATCTCTAGCCGTTTCCCTCGCCGTGTTCAGTTCACCTTGGCGCGCAAGTCCGTCCATATATTTTGTGTAGTCATTTTTGGAAAAACTCCCTTTTTTCTTTGCCGCCTTCTTACCTTTAGGCCTTCGGGACCAACTAGTCGCCTAGGGTCATCGGCACTTCTTCAAATGTGTCTTCTTCCTATGCAGTTGTGTCTTCTTCCTGTTCGGCCGTGTCTGCTTCTAGTGAACTGTGTAAACCCATGCCGTGCATGACAACTTTTGGACAGGTTGCCACAATTCTGTATCTGGGGCAATCTTTGACAATTTGTCAACATTCCCATTGGCTGAATGATTTGTTGTGGTTCTTCGCATTGTAGAATGGTTGTGCTTGTATTGTCTATAAATGTGGGATAAGACAATATTATAAAATGCGGGTGTAACACAAACAAATAAATTAAAATATTAATGCAGTGGAATACATATAAATAAATAAAAATATTGTCACCTGATCCACTAAACTTGTCCCACTACGCAGATTACCGGAAGCATGAGAGATAGCGTTTTTCCAACAAGTAAAGGATGCGTTGAGTTTTTTCCAACGACCTTGACTACTTCTGGCGTCTTTTCCATGTACATCGCAAAACGCTTTCGTAATTTTACTCCACATTTCTCGCTTATCCCTCTCATTACCCGTAATTGGGTCATGAGTAATGTGAACCCAGCATTCACACAACGTAACATCTTCGATAAGCTTCCATGTAGTCATTTTTTTCTCTCAAAAATTATATGAAAGCTTTGGTAGAAAGTGTTGAAAATATTGAAATGTGGTGTAAAGTAGAAGATAAGGGTTAGGTATTTATAGAAAAATAAATAAAAAAATTCAAAATTTTCTGTATTTGTTAACAATTTTTAATTAATTTTTTATAAATTTTAATTTAGTTAATTAATTTGGACCGTTGGATTTGAAAAAGATTCAAATCCAACAGTCTATACGTTGACACGTGGCCAGCGGTCATAATTATGACTGTTGTGCCTTTTGACCGTTGGGAATCCAACAGTCCAAAAAACTAGCCGTTGGAAATCCAACAGCCCAGAAATAAACGTGTGGCCTCCCCCATCAGATCCCTAAGTGCGCCTGCACTAGTGGGCCACCCCCACATTTTCTTGTCAGGACGCGTGGTCACGCGAGCGTGTTTCACACGCACCTGGCGCAAAAAAAATTTAAACTGGCTTGGGACGTCACGTTGGCGTCAACATGACATCAAGTAGGCCGTCCCATAGCTCAGTCCATTCTAGGTTGGCTTGGAGACCAGATTGGGCTGGGTGTCGTCCTATCCAAATGGGCTAGAGGGGATTGGCTGGGTGCCGGGCCAAAAATGGTGCTAGGTGCCAGCCTAAAAGTCCCCGATGGACTTGCTCTCAAGTGAATTGCGGAACTCTACTTCCTCTGCTTCTGTAGTAACTACTGCTGACAGAGGTTTTGGTTGCAAAAATCCATCACAATGCGTCATGATGACGGCTATCTCCATCATAATATTTTTTTTATTCTAGATCTTTTCTTTATAAAAGAGATGGTCCCAGATCATCTCCGAATCTAATGATCCTGAGTCTAAGGATCAAATGATCTAGGCCGTTGAAATTTGATCCAACAGCTACAAATAGGAGACCTTCTAAAAGTTATAATAATTGTAGCCGTTGGATCAAATTTCAACGGCCTGGATCATTATAGCGCCATGTCGTAGTAGTGAAAAACAATTATGTCTATGCACCTTGATACAGGCATTCCATTGATCCTCCTCCCCAAATATTTAACAATTTAATCCACTACACTATCTATTAGTCAAAAAAAAAAAAAAAAACAAACAAACATCTTTTGAATTTTTATTGAAAAATGCTCAGATAATAACACCGTCATAGTATGATACAACTCATAAAAATATAATCGTCTTCAAAGAATCGTGGGAATTTGTTGAATTAGTTTTATTTGAAAACCAAACCAAGCTGGCCAATTCTATCTGATTCGGGCAGTTTTTCTGTTTAGACCCACAGGTGAAAGCTAAAGCATCAGACACCATGCCACAGTCAACTCATACATCATGTAAGATATCCTTCACGCCAGGCATTCATGTGTCATGACATGTAATTGTTCATTTGGAAAATTAAAAAAAGTACAAACCTTCCAAAGAGTAAATGTATGTATGACACATGTAATTGTTCATTTGGAAAATTAAAAAAAGTACAAACCTTCCAAAGACTAAATGTATGTTACAGACAATAAAGCAGATTACTTCCATAAAATAAAAAAAAATTAAAAATTAAAAAATTAAAGCAGATTACTTGATTTTCAAGAAAATAATAAAACTAAAAGTAAAAATTTATTACCACTAGTGACAAGGTAAAAATTCATCACTTCAATAAAGCAGATTTATATCAGTCCCAAAAGAGAAAAAATAGTGCAAATCTACATTATATTTACATTTCTTAAATTTTCTTTCGAGTTCTTGAATACTTGAATGAAAAACCATGGCAGGTGTTCTTAAACCAGAGCTAAAAGTAGAGCTCAAGAACTTGTAGTCGACACAGATAACAAGTACACTATACTAGGGTGCTTGGGAGAAACATGTCGAAGGAACTCGGCAAAATGACCCCATGACTTCGAGAGAAGGGGTGTCAGTAGGTGCAGCAACAACTATGAAGAGTAACAAGAGATGTTACGCAGATTTATCACTTTCTTGTTCAGATTTAGAATCTTTTGCCTTTCTCTCCATGACCTGCTGGATGCCTTCTTGGTACCCATGTATAAAACTTTGAAGAGCATCTCTATATGCAGACGCTCTTGTCATGTACACCCGCTGCAGAGCAGGCTTTAATGTCTCCATTCCTCCTCTTGCAGCCACAGCTATTTGTTTTTATTTCCAGAGAAAAGCATTAAACATAATCAGATCTCAAACCGTTATAGCTGAAAAGCATAAAGATTTAACTAAAAACAAGTACTCTTTTGTTGTTTATGTTGTTAGAGAAGGGGAGGATGAAATGAAAAAAGCTTATTACGACAGAAAAAGAAAACGACACAGACAAGAGAGAGAGAGAGAGGCCTATGTGTTTTTATCACAACAGATTGGTAAAAGTTACAGAATCATAACCCAAATTCTATACACAGGCAATCAACAGATGAAAGAGCACCCAAACACAAAAACCAGCCAGAACGAACTGCCTTGCAAAAAAGTGTCTGCAAATCTTCCTTTCTATATTTGTTACTTATACTGGTTTACTTCATCCTCCCTTTACAGGTATTCTTTTGTTGTTTATGTTGTTAGAGAAGGAGCCGATGAGATGAAAAAAGCTTATTACGACAGAAAAAGAAAACGACACAGGCAAGAGAGAGAGAGAGAGGACTATGTGTTTTTATCACAGAGTGGTAAAAGTTACAGAATCATAACCCAAATTCTATTCAGAAGTTTAGAGACATAGGCAGTCGACAGATTAAAGTGAACCCACACACAAAAACCAGTCAGGAACAACTGCCTTACAAAAAAGTGTCCGCAAATCTTCCTTTCTATATTTGTTACTCGTACAGGTTTACTTCATCTTCCCTTTACAATCATAAAGTTGAACCACTTTCAAAAGAAGCATATGTAGATGATATTTTTTTTTTTTTTTTTTTTTGAAGCTGTTTGGATATGCAAACAACTATTAAAAAGTTAACCTACTGTACTTGAAGCAGAATTGATGCATGTAAAATATTTGATGGGATCGAATGATCAAGTTGCATGATTCAATGATTATTTATGCCAACTTCCTAAGTAAGAACATTGCAGGACACTAATGCAAACCAAATCAAAGAACAAAAAGCAAAGATCTATAGGGCATCAGTCATTATCTTCGTAGTCATATGCATGCATACATCACATAGAACAAGCAGGCGTTCCACTAAGTTACTGTTAAAATGGTCACACTGATTGATGTGGCAGCATAATGTAGACATTACTTACCAAGATCCTCTAAGGTTGAGGGTTCTTTCTCTTTAGCCGTTCTCTGTGCTCCACCAGCTCCATCTTCACTCTCTTTATTCTTATAATCATTAGGTCGCAGTTCAGGACCAACATCCCGCACCCAGCTGGCGGCATAAAGCCTAGAAGCCTCCTTCAACACCTGACAGCCAATACAAGGTATAAAATTATAAATTACCATCCTTCATGTTAACACCACACGCATAAATGTTCTAATAAGCTTTAACATATCCTAAGCAAGAAAACATAGTTCATACTCAGTGAAAACAAGACAAACTATATCTGAACCTAGACGAAAAGAAAAGCAATAGCCAAATATTATTAATAGCTCAAATCATCAGAACAAAATCAACTTTAACACTCAGAACTTCAAATTTTAATGCATTCTACGGTTGAACAATTGACCTTATTATCAAAATTCATATCAGAATTGGTCAAGAGAAAGATCAAATGGCTAGATTAACCAAATAAGAGGCTGGTATGCACCCAACCCCCATGTTAGATAAACAGTTAAAACACACAAACTAAAACTAGACTCTTTCTACATGGGTCGCTTCTGCTCAGTAGCACTTTTATCATAAGCAATTAAGCGTATAAGTAGATTTCAGTGATAATCCAAGTGTTTCCTGGAAAGCACCTATCCATTAGCTCAATAGTACTTCTCCATGAAGCGCCATTTTAGACAATTGTTAAAAAATGTGTTTTCTGATATCTGAAAGGTCAAAAGAACTCCCAAACATGCTGTAAATTGTCCATTTTATTTTCAAAAAGCATTTTAACAATCCAGTACTTGTAATTACTTCAACGATCCATGAGTTAGTTAAACGAATTGGATGTGAGTATGATTAACTACAGAGCCTATATCTATATGTGTAATGGAAATGAATGTAAGGGGCATACCAAGAACCACTCATGCATGGTGAGCTTACGGCGCTTCTTGATATGAGGAGGGTCCGGCAGCGAAGATGGAAATGCAATCTCTTTCAGATCATAACGAATGTAATCATACACTTTCCGACACACCACCCTGACCTTCATTTCTGTGGCGCCGTTAACGTCCCTCACTTTGTGATGTGGACTCCAAACTTCTACCTTTGCAGTGGCTGATACTCGAAGCCTAATTCCATATGTTGCTGTACTGCACTGGTACAGACTTCCAAGCCACGGCTACCTGTACAACACTAATATCCATCTAATGCAAACGACAAAACAAAACCACAAACCATGTCCTCAACTGCAATGGGTCCAATCCAAATGCATCCATCTTACTACTAATTACGCATTTCTTTGTCGAAAATGATTCAAGAAAAAAAAAACGACATGTAAAAATTGAGAGGAAAAAATAATCCGCAAATAAGAACAATAATTCATAATTTCAACTCTATTTCTAATTCTTTTCAGTTTTCCGAACAAGAATCACAAATCAAACAAGGACAGAGAGAGAGAGAGAGAGAGAGAGAGAGAGAGAGAGAGAAGGAGTCGGAGAGAATAGTCACCTGGTTTGCGACGAAGCTGGAATAGAGAAAGGAGGGTTGAGCCTTCGGACTGGTGGAGTTCGAGAGAGAGAGAGAGAGAGAGAGAGAGAGAGAGGGGTTTGACTGCAGCAATGGATTCTGACGGTGATGGGTTGGGCCGTGGGGAGTAAGGGAGGGAGGAAGGGGGCGGGGATTTCGTTTGCTGGGTTTTGTTTCCCGAGTCTTTTTTTTTTTCTTTCGGGGTTTTACCAGCAAGGGACATTTGTCAATTTGACTCCTGAAATTGTACAGGGAAGTTAATTTCTTCTTGAATTTTAATTTAAAAAAAAATAAAGGATTTGAAAATTTATAGTTTTAATGATAAGGATAAAATAAAGGTAAAGTGAATATTACCAAGTTTGACTTTTTAGTCTAAAAATATGGTTTTTCTTTAAAGTGAACAGTACCACGAGCTTTTCGTTCTCTTAATTTTAATCAATAACTTCGTGAACTTTTATAATCACCAATTTTCTTCTTAAACTCTAACTTTAACTAATTACCTCCCTGAAGTTTTATAGTTAGTTAAGTTTTCATTAATTTTGGTCAGGCCAACAACACATGGTAATTGTATAAAGGCTAAAAAAAAAAAAGGGAAAATTAGACATATGAAAAATTTTAAAACGTAAAGCTATGAGAGAAATTGACTATTTATAGAATTTTAAGAGGTAATTGGCTGAAGTTAAAATCCAGGGGAAAAGTGGCTGATTCTAAAAGTTTAGGGGTAACGGGCCTACAACAACAACAAAGCATTTTCCCATTAAGTGGGGTCGGCTATATGAATTCTAGAACAACATTGCGCTCGGTTATGTGTCACGTCCTCCGTTAGATCCAAGTACTCCAAGTCTTTTCTTAGAGTCTATTCCAATTCTCTGTTCTTTTGCAAGATAGATCCTAGGTAGCGAAAACGGTCGCTCTTTCGTACTTCTTGGTGTCCAATCGTCACCCCTAACTCATTTGAGCCTCCGTTTGCACTGAATTTGCACTCCATATACTCTCTCTCTGATCGACTTAGGCGAAGACCTTTAGATTCCAACACTTCTCTTCAAAGGTTAAGCTTCGCATTTACTCCTTCCTGAGTTTTGTCTATCAACACTATATCGTCTGGGAAAAGCATACACTAAGGAATATCATCTTGAATATGTCCTGTTAACTCATCCATTACTAATGCAAAAAAGTAAGGACTTAAAGATGAGCCTTGATGTAACCCTACAATTATGGGGAAGCTTTTGATTTGTCCTTCATAAGTTATTATGATAGTCATTAGTCCATCATACATATCCTTTATAGTTTGGATATATGCTACTGATACTTCTTTCTTCTCTAAAATCCTCCAAAGAATGTCTCTTATGACAGTCATTGTTCCATCATACATATCCTTTATAGTTTGGATATATGCTATTCGTACTCCTTTCTTCTCTAAAATCCTCCAAAGCATGTCTCTTGGGATCCTATCATACGCTTTTTCCAAATCTATAAAGACCATATGCAAATCCTTTTTCATATCTCTATATCTTTCATCGATCTTTGTAAGAGATAGATTGCCTCCATGGTTAAGCACCCTAGCATGAACCCGAATTGGTTGTCCAAGACCCATGTCTCTTGCCTCAGTCTATGCTCAATTACTCTCTCCAAGAGCTTCATTCTTTCGCCACTCATTTGGCATCTTCTTTGTTTTCAAAATCCTATTGAAAGGGTATGTGAGCCATGTCATACCCGTCTTTCTCAAGACTTTCCACACTTCGATCGATATATCATATGGGCCCACTGCTTTTTTATGCTTCATCTTTTTTAAAGCTACAACCACTTCTTCCTTCCTAATTCAACCAGTAAAAAGAGTAGTTTCTACACTCTTTTGAGTTACTCAACTCTCCCAAAAAAGTACTCATTTCATGTCCTTCATTGAAAAAAAATATGAAAATAACCTCTCCATCTGTCTTTGGCCTGCATTCTCTATAGCAAGAACTCCTCCATTCTCATCTTTGATGCACCTCACTTGGTTTAGATCCCTTGTTTTCTTTTCCCTTGCTTTAGCTGGTTTATAGATATTCAACTCTCATTCTTTGGTATCTAGATGCTTATACATATTGTTAAAAGTCGCTAGCTTAACTTCTCTCACAACTTTCTTCGCATCCTTCTTAACTTCTCAAAGGGGTAACGAGCCTAATGGCTAAAATTAAAGTTCAAGGAAATTAGCAGCTCTATATAAGTTCGGAGAGAAACTAACAAATACCTCTTTATCAAATGATGGCGTACTGATTAATTTTGTGTATAAGGCACCGTTTGACAACTCGGACTGTACTGACTATTTCAGTCGGATAGGATAAATAGTCATCGGATAGTACTGACTAAATTAGTGGACATTTGGTGCAATATCAGATAACAACCGCAGTTATTTATACTATGTTTGGTGTTGTGCCGATGAGAGGAAGAAAAAAAAAACCCAACTCGTTGTCTTCCTTTCTTCATCTTTCCCCAATCAAATTGCCCAGATGAAATCTTTCATAATTTTCAAATCCTATCATTTTCTATCAAATCCTATTATCAATTCCCAGCAAAACTTATCATCTTTCTCAATTTGAAATATTTCCCAAGAAAACCTAATTTACAAATCTATCATCGATTCATCACCACCTTTAATTTCCTTCAAAAGCCCAAATGAAATCTTTCCCAATTTTGAGTTTAATTACCTCACAACAAAATATCAATCACTAATTAATCCAAAAACCCAAACAAAATCTCTCAATTCAGTCCATAACACTTTCTACCTAACTAAATAATATGGTGCTTTTGGAGCGTAAAACCAAGCGGGTGTAAGCCGTATAAAAGAGGTAGGACCAGATTATTTAATCCGGTGACTATGTAATATGTATGGACACCAAACACACGGTTTCGTATTCCTAGTCCTATCTGGTGCCTTATACAGCATACCAAACAAGGCCAATGTGTTAGTGAATGTACAACTGGCAACAAATTAGCAAGGGAACATAGGCGAGATAGAGAAAATGGGGACAGAGGATTAAAGATCTATCAAATTCCCAACAAAAGGGTGCTTTATTGCTCACCCACATTAACTATGGTGTATGCTCACTACACACTTTCTAGGCTGTCATGTGTCATCCCACTCAACCAAAGTTAACTTTTGTAATTTATTTTTAAAAAAATCAAAAATGAAAAACTAAATATAAATAAAATAAAAAAACTAAACAGTCATCAAAGCAACCGCCTGTCCCCTAGGCGCTGACCAACCCTTTATCTCTCTCGCTCCCTTTTTCACTGTGTCCCCTCTTTCTTCTCCATTGTTGTTTATTGCATCTTCACCAACGATGGCTCCGCTTGGATCCATCATGATCAAGTTGTACAAAGAGATGGAAATTATAGGCACTGGAAGCGATGGCTCCACATAGAGCACATCGTTCGGTACTTCGGTGGGTGGGCCCATGCACCACTTACCATCTCCTCCTTCATCGTGTTCGAGAATCAGTTGTGAATCCTGCCTCTCTCCCAACTCCACAACGTTATTTGGGGCTTGATGGGCAAACCTTCCCTCAATTTTGCTTTTTTATTTTCTGGGATTTGGGGCTGAGGGAAGGTGGAACAATGTTGATGCGGCGGAGAGACGAGGAGAGACGGGAGGAAGGAGGAAGATAGGGATGAAACTGTTGAGATAAAAATATTAACTTCAAATTGAAAGGTAAATGCTAAAATGCTGATTACAGCATTATAATAATAAAATACTAGTAGAGAACACACACTTTTTGTGTGTGAACAAGATAGATATATGATTGTCATTTTCTAAAAAAATGAGGGTAAAATAGGAAAAATAAAGATATGATTGTCATTTTGTCAAAAGGTACAAAATTAAAGCTTTTTTAACCGCCCACCTCCTTCCACGTTATCCTCAAGCGCATCGTTTCAGTTCATTCAAACTATCCCAAAAAAATCATGATTTCACTTACATGTATGAAAAAATGATGGTGAAACAATTTCTCTTAATAAGTGCATATTTTTTATCTTATGTAAATATTTTGATATAAAATTACAATTTTGCCCTCCTTATGTAAATATTGTGTATCAAAAGTGAGAGCAAAATAGGAAAAAGAAAGAAAAAGTTCAAAAAATACAAAATTACTATTTTGTCCTCCGCATGTCAACATTGTGTTTTCAAAAATGATGGCAAAATTGGAAGAAAATAGGGTAAAAAGTTGACAAGTCCTCTTCTCTTAATAGAATAGATTAATAATAATGAAAATTTTAACCAGGTCAAATAAGAAGACACATAGTAGTTTTTTTTTTTTTTTTTTTTTTTTTGAACACGACACATAGTAATTTTAAAGATGTACGGCGAGCATACAATCACATAGTTAATTAAAGTAGGTGAATAAAAATGCAACCCCAACAAAATACGCAAACGACAAAAAGAGCCAATCAAAGCTTACCACTTGTTCCTGTGGCTCAGAAACCCAAACACACCCTCACTCGATCAATCCCACTCTCACTCGTCCCTTCATCAGAGCCGTCAGTCAGGAGCCATGGCCACCGCGAGAGTGCTGACCGCCGCCAATACTTCCTGCTTGCTCTCCAAGGCGACGTCGTTTCTTCCGAAGCAGAGTCCCTACAGCACTACCAGCCTTTGCTTCACCAGAAGAAGAGCAGCGTCGCTGTCGTTGTCGTCTTCGTCCAGGAGCTGGAGGTCCTTCATTTGCACAGCTATCTACAATCCCGAGGTTCAGATCAAGGAGGAAGGCCAGCCCGAAACCCTAGACTACCGCCTCTTCTTCGTCGACCGTTCCGGTCAAAAGGTTTGCTCTCTTTCCATTTTTCCGTTTTTTGTTGTGTTGTTTGTTTGTATTCTGAGAAAATGCAGGAAAAAACTGGACAATGTGAAAGCTTCCCATAAATGCATAAAATGTGGTAATAACTCATGAATTCTTAAATTTCTTATTATATATACTATTTTTTTTTTGGTAATTAATGGAATAATGGAAGCTTCTGATGGCCAGAAAAGGTGTGAATTAATTTTGAATTATTTTACTTTAGATGGCATATATTTCATTGAGGTCTCTCCGTTACAAATTTGATTGAGTTTTCGGGATTGTGTCGTTTTGGTTGGGAAATGGAGGCAACAAAACGAAATGAAACATTCAGTAACCACGTTAGGGCCTTAGAGAGAGGACTGATGTAATGCCATGGTTTGTGATTATATGGATACGCTTATGTGTTTTCTCTGTTTGAAATTAATCCCTTGGCCTGTCTCTGATTATTCGTAGTTCAAATTTGTACTCAAACGAGAAAATGTGTATATGCAATTGTGAGAGGAATTTCAAATTGCCGGAGTATTCGATACATCGTTGGGTTTCTTCACTCTAATTAGTTCACCTTGTTTCAATCTGCTATAACAATGTGTTGGTTTATACATAGGTTTCGCCTTGGCATGATATACCATTGCAAGTGGATGATGGTGTATTCAACTTTGTGGTTGAAATACCCAAAGAATCGAATGCAAAGATGGAGGTTGCTACTGATGAGCCACACACCCCGATAAAGCAGGATACAAAGAAAGGAAAACTTCGTTACTATCCGTAAGTCTAATTTTACTTTTCTCAAGGTTATATTACAGTGTTTGTTCTTGTGATGCTTGGATATGTTACCTGAATCAATGTAATTTTTGGCTAAGGGTGCATCATGACTATAAGTAAGTCACTGTTGGTGCTGATTATCTTTATTTGTTTAATTTCTTAGATGCACATTTTTTCCCTGGGCGATAGATGCCCGCAGATAAGGACATGCATATATGAGTAATACGCAGATAAGCACATGCATATATGAGCAATATTGCGGCAAGAGTTTGATATTTTAGTTTACTTGTTTTTTCCTATAAACCAATTAAGAAATGGGAATTGGAGACTGAATAGAGGACTTCTTACAAACTAATGTTACACAACCACTTACCCAAAAGTTTAAGATGATAGGAAATGGTCAAACAATGTATATTTAGGTTACACAACCTTCTGTTACCATTATTTACAGACATGCTAGAGTAGTTACTCTCATTCCACATATCTTACGCTTTCTTCCTTTGGAACGACATCACATTACACGCATGCTATACACACTCTGGACGTGTCATCTTCTGTTTATATTATTAAGAGAAACATATACAATTGTTTCTTTACATATAAAAGAAAAAGAAAATTCACACTATACGAAATAATTCCATTAAGCAATTTTAGTTATAAAATTAGGAACTAAAGTTTATAAAATGACACATTACCTTGCTTCCAAGTTACTCTTTTTATCTCATCATTTCTAAGTGTGTCTTTCTTTTATGCAACCACCATGACATTGCACGGGTATTGGGTGTGCACGATCTATCTATCATTGTCTATTTAAATTCTTAAAGTTATCTTATGTGTTCCCCCACCCTTAGTGTAAATGCATCGTTGTATAAAAAAATAGTTATCTATCTGAATGCCTATCTTTCTCAGCTACAACATTAATTGGAATTATGGGTTGCTTCCACAAACGTGGGAAGACCCATCGCTTGCTAACGATGAAGTTGAAGGAGCATTTGGGGATAATGATCCAGGTATGCTCACTTGTCTGTGTTTTATGTTACCAACTTTTGTCTGAGGCAAGTGTCACCTTTAGAAGGAAAACTAAAATCTTGTTTTTCTACAACCTGTAGTTGATGTTGTTGAGATAGGTGATAGTCGGAGAAAGATTGGTGAGATTCTCAAAGTAAAGCCATTGGCTGCTTTAGCTATGATCGATGAAGGGGAACTTGACTGGAAAATTGTTGCAATTTCATTGGATGATCCAAGGGCTTCTCTAGTTAACGACATTGATGATGTTGAGAAGCATTTCCCAGTATGTATTACTTTTAACCAAGCACTATCAAATTTCTGTAATTACACTTTCACCAACCCTTGCCACCGTAATTAATATATTCAATTATAGATGTTTTCAGATTTTAAATTCATTGTTGTTCCATTATATGATTACTGTACAAAAAATGGATAAAGTCTACCTAAACTCTTTTGAGTGAAGTGGATGGTTATGATATACGTTACTGTTTAGTTACAATTTATCTACCTTCATAAACTAGAGTAAGCTTTTCGAATGGACTTGTTACGTGTGTGGTGTTGCGAGTAAATCTTGTACTAAAATGAAAGGAAATGGTGATAAATATTTTTCACATAAAATTATTGTTGAAAACAACTAAAGGCATTGGTGGGCATGGTAGTTCTTATTTTTATCATAATTAATCCATAAGCCACATTAGCATTTGTACCTGGACGTTAGTCATTTGCTAGTAGGAGTGGAGTGGTTTAAGGGTAAGCTGAAGAATTAATTTCAGTAAAATGTGCCAAAACCCATGAGGCTTAATCTTATGGTTTACTTCAGGGGACTCTCACTGCAATAAGGGACTGGTTCAGAGACTACAAGATACCTGATGGAAAGCCTGCTAACAAATTTGGTCTTGGCAACAAAGCAGCAAACAAGGTAATTTTACAGTGACATTTTCAATTGCTATCCCTGAATCGTTTTGAGTACTCTATTTGTTTTGTCTATTTTTCAATTCTATCTAGGCTGCCAAGTTGCTATTATGGAGTGTTTCTTTTTCCTTTTTCCCATTATTGGTTCCTTTATTGATTCAGTCACCAGCTTTTGTTGACACTCTGGCCTAGTAGTATAGTAGTCCTTGCAAAGTGCCAGTGTTGCAAGGAGGCATGACAATATTTGATTACAAAATTAGTTATGGGGGGAGGGTGAAGGTCATCGAATGATTACTCCTGTTTTATAGCCCAATTACTTGTTCTAGAGCACACACTGATGGGTTTAGAAAATGCATTTGTCCAAGTCAAATCTGATTTTCTGATTTCAGTGTCTTCAATAATTGCTTATGTAAATGCATAATTCATGTAAGACTGTCTCTTTATGTCATCGGACTTGAGTGTATCAAGAGTTTACTTCAAAACCAGGCAGTAGGATTGGGGTGCAGTGGGGGGGGGGGTTTAAGGTTAAGGGCGAGGTAATTGTTTTCTTTGCAGTATTTATTTATTTAATTTTTTTTTTTTTTTTGGTGTGATACGTTTGATATGTTGCATGGACTCAATATTCAGATATAGGGCATGCTTTAAACGAATTGGTATCCCACAACATAAAGTCGAAACACGATGCATGAATCTACCTTAGCTGGACATTAATTGCAAGTCTTAATTCATGCATCATTGTGAAATTAGTGTAGTGGTCATGGCATGCAGGAAAATGTACCTGCCAACATAAATAGGTAGCCAACTTGGCTTGGGTTCTAGTTAGTTCAGGGTTTTAGTTGCTTCTTAGTTTTTATTTGTCTTGGTTGAATTCCATGTTTTATTTGGCAAACTCCTAGTCTTTTTAATCAATCATCTGACAGTTATGTGAGTCTAAAGTATTTTGGAAGATTAGGATTAAATAATTAAGTAATCAAGGGGTTGGATCCTTGGGCTGCTATTACCCAGGTTTAAATGCTGTTTCCAGAGGGGATTTGCATGCAGCTCTTTTCCAACTTATCGCAAACAATCAGATTTAGGGTCTCTCTTTGGTCTCTTTGCCTTAGAACTCATCTATCAACATTCCAATTTGATCCAATTGCTTTCTCTCTATCTTTTGTTTTTGTTTTTATGGATAGGGTATTATTTATTAAGAAATCAAGGTCGATGATTTGATTTTTAAGTCTATATAATTACTCTTTTAAGAGGCTTTGTGCATGGTTTTATGCTGAACATTCAGAAATTTCTGATTAAAGACTTCGCTCTTGGGTCTGTCGCCCCTAAAACTTAAGTTCGATGTTCTAACTTTGATCGTATTGGTTGTTAGTTATCTCTTGTTCCTGTCTATTTATTGCTGGAAATTCTTTCCTGGTGTGGTTTGGTACTGTCCACAGTAGCATAACACTAATTGTCACACTTAAACCTTCTTCTCTTGCTTTTCTTGTATAAGCAAAGAACAAATAAATTCATTGCCACCATCCTGCAAAACATTAGATATGAATTATACAACCTCTGCGTGCGTGATGTGCTTTATGTCTAATTTTAGAAACAATTCCTATGATGAACAGGATTATGCTCTTAAGGTCATATCCGAAACCAATGAATCGTGGGCAAAGCTTGTCAAGAGATCAATTCCTGCTGGAGAACTATCACTTGCATAGATAAATCGCTAGAATTGGAATTCCACTCCACGCGCCTAGATATATTTTGTGTTTCTTGGTGATTCATTAGAGATATTTCCTTTTGACAAACCGGTGATGCTAAGCTGGACTTGGCCCCTAGTTTTGTGTTCTATTATGCAGCATACTGCAGGTTTGGAATAATGGTGGTGAAGTAGCAAAGGTATACGTTGTTTCAAGGTCCCTAATCTGTGAGATCTATTCACAGTCCTCAAAGTGGTATTTGGACACCCGACTTTGTTATTTGGGTAAATTACAGTATGCACTCTCAAGTTTGTGTTCAATTACAACCTCATGCATTCATCATAAGAAAGCCCGACCCCGCAAGCTAGCCGCAAACACTTGGCTGCAGGAGGGGAAGGGTTAAGTGAAACTCTGCCTGGCCTGGTCAGAAGAGATTCAGAGACTATTGCTGCCCAAAAATAGATTTCATCCTTAAAACATTACAATCTCATACACTAACAATAACTTAGAATTTCATCGCATGTCATACAACGTTAAAAATTGTTAATTGGTGTGTTAAATAATGATGCGCCCCAAGGGGGATCTATAATTTTATGACGTGGCTGTCATTTGTGCCATGTGGACTAAAAAAATAAAAAAAACCCCTTAAACCACAATCTCATTTAATCATGCTTCCATATCCGGGGGAAAAAAAAAACACAACTGATAAAAAATCGAAAATGGTGGAATTATTAACATGCCAAAGAAAAGAAAATGATGGAATTATTAACATGCATTTTTGTACAACCTTTGAAAAAATAAATTCAGAAAGAAAAACAAATATGAACACGTGCATTGGAAAGTAGAAATTTTATAAGAAATTATAGCACTTGGGACCGTATGTACAGGAACTCAAACACCCTACTAAACAAGACCTGGATATGTGACAGGTTGCAACGAAAGATAAAAGGAAAGAAAATATCTTGTCTCATGGTTCAGCAACAGATTCAGTTGTTTCTATCTTCTTCCCTTCAAGCAACGGCGTTGTGTTAGACCTTTCTGTTTGGATGGTCACCTGATGCTCACTTTCCTCGTTAAATCTATCCACGCTGTGCAGAAAGATTCCTGTGATGGTAGCCAAATAAGGATTACAAATCTCAATTTCCCTGTACTCATTACACAAGCTGGTAATCCACGTGTCACAATACAAGTAGAGAGATGACATATTTTTCCGTGTCCCTCCACTTGTATTGTGACAAATGGAATACTAACGTCTCATCTATTTTGGAATTACTCAAATATCCATGCACTAATTAAAATTCCATCGTCTGACAAATCGTCAAATTCAAAAAGTTCCACTGTAAAATAACGGGGCAACTGCCAGAAACTTACCTATAAACCATATTATAGCTGATGGAAACAAAATAGCTGTTAGAATAAGAGCAGTCTTCCTCCAGTTGTTAATTGCATCCTGCACAGTCGACAACCAATCCAAAACCGAAAGAATGAAGAATACTCAGTTAGAATGTGCAACTAAGGATTTCTAAAGGGATCATTTGCAAGTTAAATGACATACAATGAAATACTGGAAGGCAAACCTGGAGAACTCCAACAAGAGGTGCGGAAGGTACATCACCGAAGATATGAATTGAAACCGTTGAAATAGCCATAGATAGTGGCCTCATATTAGGTTTAACGCAATGGAGATTAATGTAATTTACAGGACCCTGCAAAAGGGAAACATAGAAGACCAAGAGGAGGTGAGTATTCCATAGGTCTGGCACTAAATATCTATCATGCAAACAGTGGAACAAGGTAATTATCTACTTTTTGAGCCATACAAAGTAGTTCAGTGTTCGGCAGCATTGGCAAATTGAACAAAACCAAAAAAATAATAGGAGAAAATTTCTTTGAATAGGAACGTACCTGAGTTGCAAAGACAAGTAGTTCACCGATTGCGAAAAGAGCTAGGAAAGCATACATATTCTTGAAGCAAAAGGCACCAAAGCAAAAGGCACCCCCAATTAACGTTACCACTGAAAGAAGCTGCAATACAGTCTGGTACTTAGTGATGCAAAGGCAAAGAAACAAACACAACGATTGGACAATGACTACACAAGTTATCCATAGCCAAGCAGCAGTATTGCATATAAACAACTTTCATTTTATAGATTTGTTAGATAATGGTATCAAGTAAAACATTTTGGATTACCTTAAAAGCATTAGAGATAGTGTTAGTCATATAATCCAGAAGAAAGCCTCCCGCTAGTGTGCCCAATATCCCGCACACAATTGTAATACCTCCAAATATAAGATCTGCATCAGTCTGCCAAAAGACCATGAATTTAAAGCAGGTTTTATCACGGAGCTTCTCCTAACTACTTAACATCAACTATGACTACACCGAGAATAAGAAAGGAAAAAAACATTGAATAATACAAATCTATACAATCAAAGTGAAATGCTTACCATATGATATATATTATATCCAGCCTTAGGCCCCCAATATGAGTATGCACCTATGACAAAGTTGTATGCTATGTAACCTACAAATGAAAATTTCACATTTTCAGGGAATTCATATATGGATAAAGACGAAAGCAAAATGATGACTAAAATATTACACCACTGAATGAGTTCTCAGGAAACTAGCCAGCGAAAGAACTATACAAAGAAACAACCATGAACCAAAGAAATTCATATACAAACACTAGTTGGTAAAGCAGGTGGGGAAAGAAAAAGATAAGTACCTAGAACATTCACAACATAAACCTTATCCACCAATAGCACCTTCACATCTTTCAAAAACCTTGAAATTTGATTCTTTATGATCGATACCAATTTTGACCTGCCATAAAATAAGATCTCAGGTATCAATACATATACGTTTACTATTTCTTCTAAAACTTATTGAGCATAATAGCACGTGACATAAGATACAAAGTTAAACGAAACAATAATTTAACGAGTAATGCTTTACTGTCATGCAAGTGGAACCCACATATACTTCATTATAGGAAACCAGCTGTTTGTCCTAATCCTTACAATGCCTAATGCGACCTCTCACAGTTGCTTTATTTAACAGTTATAGTGGAGACTATTGATATGATAAACAAGTGCATACCATTACCATTTAAACAAAAAGCTGAATTTATCCTCAAGGATATATTATGAGGAGAAAACGGTGGCCAACATTAAAAAACACCTGAGCAACTTACACCAGGTTCATAGGCTGGTCCAGCTTACAATTAATCTTTCCAATTCTCATAAATGATTCACTGAAAAGTCCACCTGGTTACTGATTTTATGCTAATCATTAATGCTTAACATATTCAAGGTTTGATATATAAATGTTCCATTTAAACGATATATATTTCATTAATACCTTTTAATTCTTTTCAAATTTCTTTGTTCCTTGTGTAATTCAACTACTGTCTCAGTATGACCAGGGTGAGCATGGAAATAATTGACCACTTAAGAAGGATATAGAAATTCAAATAGAGAGTGAAGTTTATGGAGTGTTTCTGTAGTTTTCTTTAGGTGTTTCATGGAATGCATGACCATGTTTCTTGGATTCCTTGTGTTTCTCTAACAATATTGGTGTTTCTTATCCCTTAGGAAAGGAGTGTCATTTAATTAACTGGAATAGTGTTTCATGGACTATGAGTCCATGTTTCTTGTATCCCTTGCATTTTCTCTAATAAACCTCGTGTTTCTCATCCCACAAGAAAAAAAAAAGCAGTGTATTTATGTCGGCTGAAATATTGTTTCAAGTTGAGCAAGGCTAACGCACACTGAACTTGTAAGCTAGTTAATTTTCACATGAATCATAATGCTTTATTCCCCACCAAAAAGGTGGTTGTGTGTCTAGGTATATACAAGCACAACTATAAATTTTATAGATTATATTACAGAGAGGTAGCTTCAATTGAGGGACACCCGTTGTAGGCCCACTCTACATTATATTTCAACAATCCAAAATGTCTAGTTTTTAGGTCCTCTATCAAAGATCATTGTAGCAAAAAGTCACCCGAATCTGAAACTATTTACCCTCTCAATTAAATGGTGGCCACTTTAGTGTTTTGTTGAAACACTCTGTTCATCTAATTTTTTGCTACAACTAGATGTCTTAATGATTTTGGATTTATCTAATATTTGACAAGATCTTTGATTGTGGAACTAAGAAATGTATTACATACATATGAGCTTAAGGATGAGTGACTCACTTGGAAGATTTTTGTAAGGTAGAATTTCTCACATGTTCCTTCATCGAACAGGAAGCTTGTTCACCATTCGAAATATCTGAATCTGTGCAGAGTTTCAAAACAAAATTATCAGTCAAAGGAAAAGAGTAACTATAATACAATTAACAGAACGGAAACCTTCACTATCCTGATAAAAATAAAAAGTTCATAAAACATTATCAGCAGGTACTTTCTGGTCAATAAAGAGGGACAGAAACGAAGGTAACAGTGATTAACTAACATAACAGAACTTTTAAAATACATATTTTACACCTTTTACATCATAAGAGTTTATGGTTCTAAGATTTGCCAAATAGCACCTCTAACGAACATGACACATTGCATCATTACTTTGTAATGCATAACACAATGTTCAGAATTTATTCAGAATCATGAGCATTTGCTACCTAAAAACTTGAGGAAATGAGGAAACCTATTAGTTAAGCAATCCTCTTACAGGATAGGGGATTTAGAGATTTTTCATAAAATTTTATCAGACGGCCGTATCCTAACATAAATTTGATGAAATTGAGGTTCCACCATAAAACCAATTGGCAATATGAGGAGTAGCCCAAGATCATATATGCACATAGCAAACCTTGTCCCTCACCAATGTGGGACAACTCTCAACACGCCCCCGCACGTGTGGCGGATTTTCAAGCCTACACGTGGACAACAACTGGATGACGTGGAGCATGTGTGGCTGTTGAGCTTCACACGTGGACAACCTTGCTCTGATACCATGATGAAATTGAGGTTCCACCATAAAACCAATTGGCAATATGAAGAGTAGCCCAAGATCATATAAGCACATAGCAAACCTTGTCCCTCACCAATGTGGGACAACTCTCAACAAAATTTTCCTGTCAACTCAACTCAACTCAACTTAATTTTTCTCCCAAAAAGAAAATCTGAGAAAAGTTATCATATAAATTAATATAACTCCTAAAAAATGCAGTTATGCAGTATAAACGGACGGTAAAATACTAAAATCACAAAGTTATTCATTGATGAATGCTTCACATCCACATAGCCTATTAGAGATGTTCCAATTAATTATAAGCTATTCTGCAGCTAGTCAGGTAGAGGACATGGCT